GAGAAAGCAAATAAATATGCTATATATAATAAAGGAATTATAGTAATTTTGCACAGTTTTGGCAGTAAATAATATTTATATTATAAAATAAAATATGTACTAAATATTTAGTTCAAGTTTGTGCTATTTATACATTAGGACTGAATGAATCATGAATATGCAGAGGGGTTAATGAATGGGACTGAGCAAGCATGTGGAATCTTTATTTATTGAGAATATAACAGATAATGGACCAGCAGGTAGAGTAGTGGTTAAGGTGCTGGATCCCACATGGCCAACTCCATGGTTTGAGTCCAGGACCAGGTAGATTGAAAAAACACACCTTGAACATGTATGTGTATGCCCAAAATCCCAGGAAGAGAATAAAAATAAAGGGATTGAGGCATGGCCATACCACCTACGGGGTGATTTCTCACTTGCCCTCTCTCTCTGTCTCTTTCTCTCTCTGGTGAGCATATGTGCCCTATGGCAAAAAATAATCTAAGGAAAAAGATTTTAACAGATACTTACAATTTATAAACAAAATAGTATGAACAGAAATATTAAATACTCAAATAAATCTATAATAGAGTTTTAAAAAAATGGTCTCTTCAGAATGGGACTTACACTGAAGTGAATGGGGTAACTGTTATCTTCATTATCAGATTGTGGTAGTTTTCACCTTTTAAATTCATCAACAGAGTATTTTAAATGTGTTATTTTGGCCAATTTTAAAAATTATATATCTGTGTGTGCACATGCATATGTGAGCATGTGCATATTAAAGCCATATAATTTGGAGGATTTCTTTTAGATTTTTAATTATCTGACACAGTTCCATCAAACAAGGCTTACATTAATCCATTAAGAGACAATTACTTCGTTGGGACCAGCAGTTAGCATAATGGCTATGTCGCTGGGCTCCCACGTAGAAGAGTGGGGTTCGAGTCCAGGACCCAGTGACTTAAACTCACGCACGGTGCGTGTGCACGTGCATGCGTGCCCAAGATCCTGAGAGGAGAATGGAGTAGAAGGGATTGTGGCGTGGCCATCCCCCCTGGGGGGTGATTTCTCACTTTCTGTCTGTCTCTCTCTGTGTTTCTGGTGAGCACACACACCCTATAGCAAAAAAAAACTCTAAAACAAAAAGAAAGAAAGAAAGAAAGAAAGAAAGAAAGAAAGAAAGAAAGAAAGAAAGAAAGAAAGAAAGAGAGAGAGAAAGAAAGAAAAAGAAAAAAGAGACAATTACTTTGCTTAGCAAAAGTTCAATCAATTGTTGGTGATCAAAGATACTAGAAGTATCTAAGCAGTCAAACCAACCATTCCTAAAATAGATATCAATCATATACCAACAAATGCAGAGTCCTACTAGAGTTTTGGGTCCTTTATCCTCTCTTGCATTGCCTTCTTTAAAATGCCAGTACCCTTTAGGGACTTGACATGCTAAATATCTCAGTGTAAGACAAAATTCCTCATTGTATGATTTGCCAAAATAGTTTCCTTTTAAATAGTAGGAAGCAGAAGCAATATAAATAAACATAAAACATTAAAATTGCTGAGGCCCAGTCACTGTGGTACAGTGGAAATACAGTCCCCTGTAATACTGGAAGGCACATGGCAGATGATCCCCAGGTTGGTCTGAACACATACCAGACGTGTGTATGTGTGTCCAAATCCTCCAGAGTGGGAGGGCTGGGAAAAGGGACCATGATGTGTTGAAACTCTGTGAGGGTACTTTCTCGATGTCTGTTGTGTGAATGCATAGAAGCTCTCTTTTAGGAAAAAAATGCTAAAAGGAGATAAGTACATTTAAACAGTTACATCATCAACAACATCCCAACATATTTATCACCTCTCAAGTTCCTGGAAGTACTTCATACACATGGGCCAAAATGTCAACTACCACCCTCTCTGATGAAAGAAATCTGTTTAATTTTTCTCATGTGAAAGGAGAGGGTTTGAACAGATGAGTTGTAATTTCTCTTTAAGCTTTAGTATTTCTCATTATGAAGATTTACTATACTTATCCAACATGTGTACCTTTTCATCTCATCTGATCTTCCAACAACCCTGCATAGTAGAGCAGATGTATTACAGGTAGACTTAGGTTGATGATGACTTAGCAGTTTGTACAAGGTCAAACAACTAGGATGTGGCAAAAAGGAAAATTCTCACATTTTTCCCCTAAATCATTTAACTAAGAGTCTTTATGATGTTAGTACTTGTATAGTTATGCTGATGAAAAACCCCATGATTATAGAAGTGATATACTTCGATATATTATTACACACATACTATATGTGTTTACTTATTAATTCATTTATTCAGTAAATATCTATTGATTAACTATTATGTTCAAAGCCCCATGAACCTCCCAAATCTCAACCTGTCACTAGAGTAACAATGCCAAAGCCACATCAGTATACCTTAGGTTTCTTTTCTCCCTCTCAGCAGAGTCAGATAAGACTGGACAGTCTCATTAATTCTTACAAGAGCTAACATGAAGCAGACATTCTTACCATCTCCTTAACTTAATTTATCCAATATCCATTTAAGCATAACAGCAAAGAGTCAAAGTCTCCACTTTCCAAGAATCAATTCTCAAAGCAAAGTAGATTTGATTATTACAGAAAAATCAGGATAGAGATTATTCTCACAATAGGAGATATTCTATGCTTTTAGTCTGGAAACAATGACATCCAAATTGGCACCATTGTAGATGGCTATTTTTATGTACATCATGCCTCCCATATTCTTTAAAATGTGATTGTTATCATATGTTCACAAAATGAGAGAGAAGAGTCAAGGATGATTTCTAGATCTCTGACTTGGGAGATTGAACACGATAGTGTCACTTGAAAGTATAAAGACAAGAGCAGTTAGAAGTGAAGAGAGACAGCGAATTTTATTTTAGACATATGCCCTTGACCCATGCATCAGGAATGTATAGAAAGGAGATATACATACACACACTGGAGTTCAGGACTTGTTCTAGAGGTTGGGTTGGATATGTAGACTCTGGAGTCGTCACAATGAAAGGGATAGTTACAATAATGGGCTCATGCAGGAAATTAGTCTAGATAAAGAAGAACACAGAATCTAAAGAGTTCTATATGCTAGGAACCTTTTTAAAATGTTAGAACGATGAAATAAGTTCAGCCACAGTAGTGTAGCAGTAGTAAAATGCTCTGTTTTCATAGACTTGTGCAAGCCAGGTAGGTGCATGTGCCAATGATCCTGGCTCCTGAAAAGCAGGCCAAAGAGAGTGCAGTGTGAGACCTTGTTGAAGTGTTGTCTTTCTCTCTTTCAAGAAATAAATACACTTTAGGGAAAAAGAAAGGGGAAATGGAAAACATCAAGATAGAAACAGAAGTCACCAGAAGAGAAGAGAAACACTAGGGTAGAATAATGTCAGAAAAACAAGGAGGAAGTTTTAATAAAAGGGGCAGGTCAGCATTGTCAAATAAGCTAAACACTAGAAGACTTTACTAGATTAGTAAGTAACTTACAGATTTTTGTCAGAGAAATTTTAGGGAAGCGGAAATGGAAATCACGTATTGGTGGGTGAATCTTGTGTGGAATGGTGAACAGAAATAGATTGGAGGCAGCTAGTTTACTATCATTTTCTCCCTCAATGAACACGTAGCAACACTTGTGAAATAAAATTAAGAAATGTCTGAAATCAGTTTGACTAAAAACTAAAAATGAAGACATAAGATAATGGCTGGAGACCACTGTGCAGATTTGAAAATCATCAGTTTATACCCCTAGTGTTTCAGAAAAGAAGAGAAGGGAGAAAAGAAAAATAGTGCAGTAGAGAGAGGAGACAATTGTGAGAAAGCAAATAACAATGGTTGTTTTTCTTAAAATATGAGTGTGTCTACAGGGCCCCTAAAAGATTGTCTGAATCACATCATAATCTACAAAAGCCTTACACCTGAAAGTATTTTTCAATGGCGAATATACCACTATTACCAATGATAGGCTGACATTTTTAGTCATTTACTGCCAGCTAGGGCTGTCCCATGAGGTAATCCATCTCTGTTTTATAGACAAGAGAGCTCTCCCTGGCTAATTCCTGTGTTTAAGAGAGAAGAAAGAGGTGGTTCAGGAAAGGTCCTTTAAGTTCAATATTCTGCTCTCTCTTTGATAATTCTCATGTATGCAGTGGTGAATAAGTCATATAAATTGAAGTGCTTGATCCCAGAGTAAGATAGGTTTTGAAAAAACAAAAGGGTTATAATCATTTAACTATATAAGGTCTGAAATGAGATTTTTCTTGTGTATGTGTGTGTGTGTGTGTGTGTGTGTGTGTGTGCGTGTGTGCATGTGTCTTTCCTAAAAACATAACAATTTTTTTCTTGAATATAAGAAATTGAAGACACAGTATCCTAGGCATGTGTTAAAAGAAAAAACATAGCTGTGTAACAGAATGTCATGTAAGGGACTAAATGTAAGACATGTGTTATATTATAATGAGTTAAAAATCATCCCATTTAAATAATCACTTGGAATAAATTATTTAAAAAATAGAGTAAGAAATAATTATATAAAAAGTACTACATAAAACAAAGCATTATCACCTTGTTTGGTACAAAATCTGGTTGACTGTCCAAATATATTTTAAATTTTTCAAATACATTTTTTTTTCTATCTCTTTTGCCCTTAATCAAACATATTCCAGCATCTGTTTTATATCAGAAATGAATAAAATATGTCTACATGAACAGAGGGCATTGGCTGTTGTTTCTTGTATTTAATTAGGATAAAAAGATCATTTAGTGGAAAATGCTCTAAAACCTACTTTTTATACTTGGAATTTAAACTCTGCCTTCAGTGGCAGATAGATCTGCTGATAGATCAGGTCTAGACATCAGTATCTCAGAATATCTTTGGAGCTGTAAATTAAGACTGCAAAATTGTCCCAAATTTTTGTCATAGGTTTTCGAGATTAAAGTAAGGCTTGTTTTTGCTGGGCTGCTAAGTATCAAGGTACTGTGTTGTTGGAGGGGTTAATGCTGGAGCCACTGCGCATATATATTACGGAAGATTCAGAAACACGACAGTGAAGCCGGGTCAATCCATTACTGTGAATGAGCATTGACCAATAGAAAAGGAAGAAGAAGATCCAAGAAGGCTGAGGTAAGCAGTCTGAAGCCCTGTCAAAGTACAAACAATAGATCAAAAGGTATCCATGGTGTCTGGTCAGAGTGGGTTTTATTTGTTCTCACAGGACGTTTGACAGCTTAAAGTAAAAACAAATTGTTATAGTCAAAGATTTTTTTTTTCCTTTTCCTCTTAACTGATTTTAGCCAACTTCAGACCCAGACAGAAGACTCAACAGTATATTCCTGGAAGGCAAGGTAAATTATTTTGTATTTTTAAAACTTAAAGTTAAGAATCCAAAGTTCTGATTCATTGCTACAGGGTTATAACTTCAATAACTAAAGCAAATCCCTATTCTGAGGGGAGGGGGGAGTTTCTTTTAATGTGTCTCTGTGGGAATTTGGCCAGAGTAGCATTTTGCAATTGCAGAAATCTGACAGCTTGTGGAAACAGCTCTGCACTTGTCATTTCTGAAATTTAATAGCAAAACTGAAAGATCAGCATTTTGTAAATGAAGCTGATTTTATCTTTTCTTGGGGAATCAGTAAAATTTATTCCGTTCTTGTTATCAGATGCTTTAACTAAATATACATTGGTTAGAATTTTACAGTTTTATGTATGTATATACCTATGTATACATATACACACATATATCATAGATGTGAATATGTTTAACATATATGTACAACTATAGTTTTGTATCAGAATAGTTCTTTGTGCCTATAACATTTGGTGATATTTAGTGTGTTTTCAATGTGTCAAATATTAGTAAGTGTTAATTTATTCTTTGTTATTATTGATACTAGAAATATGGATATAAAGGAATTCTCTACTTGTATCCTAAATATGATTTTGTTCTATTTTGTTTATTATAAACTATAATAATGCCATAGTTGAATGCATCACTTATGTCACTGTGACCTACTCGACTCTACAGATTAAACTTGGTCTATTAGAGCTTATAATTTAGTTTCTTCACTGAACAACTTGATTCTATACTTATAATTATAGAAGCCTTCTCCCCCCAATAACACTTACCTCAGAAGTTAATCAACAGAATAAGAGACTAATCAATGCTTTTCTTTAAGTCTTATAACCTTCTTTCACAATAAACTGCTAAAATGCTCTTTGATTTCTTCATTTCTCTGGTTCAAGGGCCAAAGAGAATGTGAAATATCATCCAGATGTTCTGCTCATTTAGGAGTAAAAGCAAAAGCATATGTCTACCTCTTAGAAACACAGACTCTAGAGTTATTAAGGATCACTTTTTGTACTCCTGTATTCAACTACTGGTTTCAGTTAACTTTCCTGAATTAAGTAGCAAGAAAGGGAAAAAGCACTTACTTCAGCTAAAATTTGCTTTCTATTTCTCAGTTTTTATTGTGACTGGGTTATGCCAAAAAGCTATAAGTTTGTGAATTTTGAATTTTGAAAAATAGTTGGCATATGGTGTCTAATAAATAAATGTATATTAATTAATATCCAGGTATGAAATATTTGTATTTCTTCACTTCTCAAAGAAACAACATTTACTGGTCATTTGAATGCACATAATTACCTAAAGACTAAGACCTTCAAATAGCTAACAGTTTTGTCTCCTATTCTTTAGGTACTATAATGGCAACCACAATCTGTTTCTTCATTGGGGTGTTATTCATAACAGATACTGTATGGACTCAAAGTGTGAGGCAGGGTTATGAGGTAAATGATCCAGATTATTGGGCTATGCATGACTTCGATTGTCCCAGGGAATGCTTCTGTCCTCCTAGTTTCCCTACTGCTTTGTATTGTGAAAATCGAGGTCTGAAAGAAATCCCTGCTATACCTTCAAGGATCTGGTATCTTTATCTTGAAAATAACTTGATAGAAACAATTCCTGAGAAGCCATTTGAGAATGCCACCCAGCTGAGATGGATAAATCTAAACAAGAACAAAATAACCAACTATGGAATTGAAAAAGGAGCCTTAAGTCAGCTGAAGAAGCTGCTTTTCTTATTTCTAGAAGATAATGAGCTAGAGGAGGTGCCTTCTCCATTGCCAAGAAGTTTAGAACAATTACAATTAGCTAGAAACAAGGTTTCCAGAATTCCTCAAGGGACCTTCAGCAATCTGGAGAACCTGACCCTTCTTGATCTACAGCACAATAAACTATTAGACAATGCCTTTCAAAGAGATACCTTCAAAGGACTCAAGAACCTCATGCAACTAAATATGGCTAAGAATGCCCTGAGGAATATGCCACCAAGATTACCAGCCAATACAATGCAATTGTTTTTAGACAACAATTCCATTGAAGGAATACCAGAAAATTATTTTAATGTGATTCCTAAAGTGGCCTTCTTGAGACTAAACCACAATAAATTATCAGATGCAGGTCTCCCATCAAATGGTTTTGATGTATCATCAATTCTAGATCTTCAACTATCTCACAATCAGCTCACCAAGGTTCCCAGAATCAGTGCTCATCTACAACACCTTCACCTTGATCACAACAGAATTAGAAGTAAGTAAATTTAGTGCAGTCAACAAAATAGAATAATCTCCTCTTTCCTGAAAGTGGTTTTTAATAAAGGAATGAGAAATGAGTAAAAAATATTTGAAGGTAGAGATGCCAACAAAGGGAGTAGTGGTTGTAGAAGGTATAAGCTGGAAACATTAAAGATACAATTATGCCTAAGATAGGCTGGACCTGGTGTGGAAGGGGGGCAATATCTTGGTTTAGCCACAGTGTATTGATACCCAGCCTGGAACCTATCTATTCATCTTTAACCCTAGTCTTATCCCTTAGGAAGATCATCTTGGGGAGATTTCTCCTGAATACATTTATAAAATACATTACTAAAACAAGATTCAGTCAGAAAGTAACATAATAGTAAGGTTGTGCTGCCTGGTTACTACTTTTCCTTTAAGCAAGTAATCGCACAAATGTATTTATAAGAATAGGCTATTTTCACTAGCTATTGCTCAGTTATTCAGTTTTTTTTCCAGCATTCTTGAGAGGAATGAAATGTCAGGCTGCTTCCATAGTAGCTGTTTTTCCATGTGACCAAACGTACTGTTTAATCCTGCAGTCAAGAGTACAAGATGAAACAAACAAGCAAAATAGTTAACAGACAAACCTGTTTAACTGAACCAATAGTGACCTAAATAGTCAATATTTTCCTGATGAGAATTCTGTGCTACAGAAAGATTCCTTGTCTGACAACAAAAGCTCCACTAAATATGGATGTGGGAAGTTCATTTCCCCAAGAGCCCTGTTTGTGAATGGGGTTTCTACCCTGAGAATTTGAGAATAAGGGTATTTAGTAATGAGGTAGCAATACTCAAAACAGTCGAGAAATACAGAACTATGTCCTTCTATCTATACTTTAGAGGTTTTCAAAGTGTTTTCCCATACAGTTTTTAGTTTTCAATTGTTCTCATTTGCTAGCATGCCTCAGAATCACCTGGAAGGCTTGTAAATCACAGGTTGGGTCCCATCCTCAGAGTTTCTGACTCAGTAGGTCTAGGGTGGGGCCTAATGATTTAGTTTCCAGGGAGTAATGAATGCTGCTGGCCCAAGAATTAATTGAGAACCCTAATTGATCGTTATAAGAGCTTTGTATGATTTTGTTAGGAATTTCTCAAGAAGGAGAAACTGAAACTCAGGTAGATGAGCATATCTTTCCAAGGACAGAGTAAACACGATACCTAGGACCTGAGACTCAGGTTTTTCATCTTAAGTCTTTTCTTCTTTCTACCCACAATATAATAACAATACTACTTTCTTACATTCCTAGAATTTTCAAACTCTGCCAGTGAAACAAGAATATTAATAAAAAATTGAGTTATTTGCTTCTTAATGTAGTTATCAAATGTGATCCTCTATCTCCCAAGAATATAAATGCAAAATAAGAATTCCTCTGGCTAGAATTATTGGCTCACAACTTATATCTCATGGTATTATAATAACTGTTAAAGTACTTAGTTCTTATTGCCACATAATCTACTCTCATTGCTAATAAAGTAGTTTCCAAGAGACATACCTTTCATATGAAACATATTCAGAATTTACAGGACAGTGAACTTTTCTCATGCATAATGATAGACATACTACCTATATCTTCTGAATACCATAAGGGACTTAAAATTTGCTAAAAATGTTTTCTACTATAACTACACTATAATTATGGTGTTCAAAATGTCATAATTAATTTATAAAAATGTAATTGAATTTAGAACACTTGTTTCTCATGTTCCACTGATGTAAACTTAAACTGATTATGGGACATGAGGGTGATATAAGTAAGGACTCACTCCCTCCAGTAGACAAGGGAACCAGTATATACTAAGCAGACCTCAGCTCTGCCAGTTACTTGCGGAGTACCATGTCCTTGCTAAGAACATGTCCTTACCTTTCTAACTACCATTTCCACAATGCCCTGATGGGGAGAAAAATAATATTGCCTGAAAAAGTTGTATGACCATAAAGTGGTAATGTGTCTGATAAAAATGACTTTATAACCACAAAAATACTATGTAAATATCAGTAATTTTTTTTTCTTTTTTTTTGGGGGGGAGAGCCTTTTGCTATAGGGTGCGTGCGTTCACCAGACAGACAGAGAGAGAGACAGAAAGAAAGAAAGGGAGTAATCACCCCCCAGGGGGGATGGCCACGCTGCAATCCCTTCTCCTTCATTCTCCTCTTGGGATCTTGGGCATGCACGCACACCCCCCCGGTGTGAGTCTAAGCCACCAGATCTGGGACTCGAACCGTGGTTGACCACGTGTGAGTCCAGCGACATAGCCATTACACTAACTGCTGGTCCCAGAAATTTTTTTTTAAAAAAAAGTATTTTTACTTATATTTTTCATGAGTATGTAAAAGACAGCAGCCCAGGCAGGATCTTCATGCCATGATTTACCCCAGCTTTCATCTAGCCCAGGCTTATGGGCATACATGTCTTGGTCTACTCAGGGAGATTGCTGGACTTGAACTAGAAACCTCCTCACGTGGGATGGCCTCATTGAGTGTCTTGGTGTTTTGTCTCACCACTATGCCATCATCTGGACCCTGAGTCATTATTTTTATCAAGCTGAATTCACAACATGGCATAGGTCAGAGCAAAGAAAGTTATTGTATGCAAAAAAATTACTAAGTACAACATAAATCTGTGTGCAATAATAGGACACAAAGAATGGGCATTGTCTAAGTCAGCTATGTCTAATCTGGGAAGGTCTCTCATTTAAGATGCTTTCAGGGACCAGGAGATGGAGTAGTGATTATGTTGCTTGATTCCCATGTAGTCGACTGAGTTTCAAGTCCCAGACTCGGCAGCTTAACACTCATGCTGGGTGCGTGTAGGTGAATGCCCAAAATCCTGAGAGGAGAATGAAGGAGAAGGGATTGCAGTGTGTCCATACCCACAGGGGTTGGTTTTTCATTTTCTGTCTCTCTGTCTCTGTCTCACCGTGAAGTACACACACCCTATAGCAAAAATCCCTAAAAATAAAAAAAGAATACTTTCAAAAAAGGAAAAGGGAATTTTTTTTTAAGAGTGTGTGGTGTATACCATGTTGGGTAAAATCTCTGTAAATCTGAATGATGTATAGCAAATGAATGTATAATAATAATAAATATTGATAAAAATTACAAAATAAAAAATAAGGAAAAAAGAACTTAAAGGCAGTATGTGGATTCACAGTTGAGATCAGCTTTTACACATTTCTCTGATATTTGTTAGTTTCATAAACCTCTCCTGAATATTTCTAAATCTCAGTATAATCATCGCTGCCAGGGGCCCTGTGCCAAGGCACAATTTCTCCCATCCTAACCATGTAAAAAGGCTGATAGAGTACTTGCTGGCTGAAATTCTTTCTAATTCAATTCTTGGCAAATGTTTCCTTTCTAATTAAATATATTTATGTATGGAGATTCAAGGTTGTTTTATGTTTACATATGCAAAGTTATATTAATTATGCCTTTTAAAAACATCATTATACCCTATTTTTCATCTTTTAAGTTCATTTTCAACTTTCCTTTATATTAGGCTGGCTTTCTACCTATTTATCAATCCATCCATCTATCCATGTACTTACTCTTTTTTTCCCTAAAGTTTTTGCCATAGAGTGTGAGCATTCACCTGAGAGAGACAGAAAGAGACCGGAGCAAGGAAAGTGAGAAAGCACCCCCCACCCCCAGAGGGGATAGCTACATCATAATCCTTTCTCCTCCATTCTCCTCTTGGGATTTTGGGCACATACGCACATGCACCTGGCATGATTTTTAAGCTGTCAGGTCTGAGATATGAACCACAGTCAGTCATGTTGGAGTTCAGCACCTTAACCACCATGCCAACAGCTGGTGCCTACTTATCCATTTTTTTTTTAATACTAGGTCTGAATTGTTGTCTTCATCTCTAATACCCTAAATACTACCCGTCTCATCCTATAGTTATCCAAATATACCTTTTCTCACCTACAAGCTTAAAAGACAAGTAATATTTTCTCTCTCTCTCTTTTTTTTTTTTAATAGGATTTTTTCATAGGGCATGTGCATTCACCTGAGCAAGACAGAGAGAGCAGTAAGGAAAGTGAGAAATCACCCCGAGGGTGGAGAGGCATTCCACAATCCCTTCTCCTCCATTCTCCTGCTGGTGGGATTTTAGGTACAAATGCACATGCGCCTGGCATAATTTTCAAGCCACATGGGCCAGGACTTGAATTGTGGTCAACCACATGGGAGTCCAGCACCTTAACCACCATGTCACCTGCTGGTCCCAACAAGTGATATTTTTTACACCATTGTTTACATCACATCTCCTAACCATATTTTTTTTTCTGGTGTTCTATACTAAGTGTAGCAGAACATGGAGTGACATGATTGCATGTATATCACATACTTTTCCAAGGTTACTTTTATAAAACAGATATGTACCATCCGTAATTTACACAAAAATTGTTTGTATTTCTACACTTTCATAAGTCTGGCTACTGAGCCTTCCAGAGTACCACTGCAATGGTTTTTCGGTCTTCCCATCTGTAATTCCAATTCATTCACTCACTCTGTCTTCACAGGTGTGAACGTCTCTGTAATATGCCCTAACCCTACCACCCTGCCTGAAGAACGAGATTCTTTCAGTTATGGACCTCATCTTCGCTACCTCCGTCTGGATGGAAATGAAATCAAACCACCAATACCAATGGATTTAATGAACTGCTTCAAGCTTCTTCAGGCTGTCATTATTTAAACACATCCTTATCAAGTCTAAAATTGACTTAATGAGCTAATGTTTCTAATATAAAAATTAACCCAAATTAATTGAAATCAATTTAACCATATGTAGGTTTATGACTAATGTTACATTTCCAATTGCTCTTGACTACAATTTTTATTTGTGCAGCTTATTAATTTTTTTGTATTCAAAGATGCTTTTGCCAATGACATGCAGCTCAGAAGGTATTAATTTGCCTTTCTTCAATTAATAAATCAGACACAGAGTTAAGATACTTTATCAACTCAAAGATAGTTCTTTTTGTCTCTTTTACAGCTTCTTATTTGATACCAAATAAGGCAATTACATTGTTATACAATAGAAAGGACATATTGTGCATGTTTAAAATTACTTATGTAGATACTATATTTACAGTATAAATTCAGTAATCAAACAGGAGGTAGGAAGATCTGGAAAAAATGAAACAATGAGATGTTTCTTCATTGTAACTACAATGAAATATATACAGATTGCCAAGTAGCTTTTGGAGGTCCAAGTTCGATATGTAGCTCAAGAATCAAATTCTTAAAAACAGAAGAGTTCTATTCATTTAATAGCAACTAAAGAAGCCACAATCATTTTCAGTTTGCTACAGTTTCTGGTAGTTCTTCTTAGATGTATTACACTTTATTCTAACAATTAAATAAGTCCTAAATTTTACATTTATGGTAAGACATTTCCATTTCTCATAGAATCTTAGTGTTTCAACACTTGAAATTCACTTGAACGGCAAATTGTTCAGTTCTTCTATTTGCTCATGTGTTTTTTTTTTTTTGATTTTCTAAATAAAGATAGTGAGTACTCTCTAACAAAACAGAAGTAAAGTGTTTATTTCAAGGATATTATTCACAAGTTTCATTTAAGAAAAAGTGCCATAGTAAAAGTTATTTCCATTTTCTAGCATATGTCTTAAGCATGCTTTTCATATATCTTGTTTTTTTTTTTTTTTTATTTCCATCCAGCAAACTCAAGAAAAAGTTTATGGGACCAGCACTTGGCGTAATGACTATGTCACTGGGACTCCCGTGTAGTCGACCATGGTTCAAGTCCTGGACTTGGTGGCTTAAACTCACAGTGGGTGCAATGGGTGCATGCTCAAGATCCCAAGATGAGAACGGAGGAGAAGGGAAAGCACCCACCCCAGGGGAGGGTGATTTCTCACTTTCTGTCTCTCTGTCTTCTGGCAAGTGCATGCGCCCTATAGCAAAAACCTCTCCCACATACACAGTAAAAAAAAAAAAGAGTTATATATGCAAGTAAAATTCTAGATTTTAAAAATGTACAATTTGGGACCAGCAGATGGCGTAGAGGTTATGTTGCTGGATTCCCACATGGCCAACCACAGTTTGATTGTCACATCTGGTGACTTTAAAATCACACTGAGAGTGTGTGTGTGAGTGCCCAAAGTTTCTAGGAGAATGGAGAAGAGATTGCAGCATGGTCATCCCCCGTGGGGAGTGATTTTTCAATATCCCTCTCACTGTGTCTTGTCTCTCTCTCCCCAGTGAGTGCACACATCCTAAGGCAAAATCCTCTAAAAATAAAAACAAAATTTAAAAAGTCCAATTGGTTACTTTACCTTCTGTCTTATCAGAAACCTAATGTTTAATTCCATAAGATAAATTCCCAGAAAGAGAATACAAAGTCATTACTGCCTACTTATTTTGACAATAAACCCTCTTTGGGTGAGTGAAAAGAACTGATTAATATACTTTGAACATAGTTTTTAAAGAAGCTTATTTATTTCTTCCATGAGCAAGAGAAAGAGGGAGCATACCGCCCCCCTCCATAAGGGTCTTGATGTCGCTATTAAATGGCAGCCTCAGCCAGCCCCGGAACATGGGCATGTGAGTATTCAATGTGTAAAGCAGTGCTTCCAAGCACCAAGGACTGGCCTTATAGAAAACAATCCCTCAACTGATAGGTGTGTGTGTGTGTGTGTGTGTGTGTGTCTGTCTGTCTGTCTCCTGGATGACCCAAGTGTGTGTGTGTGTGTGTGTCTGTCTGTCTCCTGGATGACCCAAGCGCACCACATTCACAGTATACTCCATTTCCACCACTACCACATTACCATATATGGTGAAATAATCACACAACAATATAGGGTTTGTGCTCTGATGAGAATCCAATACCATTGCTGATGACAGGAAGCGGAGCCCAGGTGGCAATGAGAGTGATGGAGGACGGCTGCAAACACAGATGAAAACTTGTTGACTCACCCACAGGACCCCTCCTTTACCCCATGGCTAGAGAAGAAAGGTGCCAAGAAGCCACAGATTGGCACTGGTTCATGATCTAGGAGTTGAGGAATCAGTATACAGAGATGAATTTAAATGTGAACCTGGGAGGCCAGTGGATGGCATAACAGTTATGTAGCTGAACTCCCACATGGCCTGCTACAGTTACAGCCCTGATTCTGGTGGCTTCGAAATCACACCAGGCACATGTGCAAGTGTGCCCAATATCCTGGGAAGAGGATGGAGGATAAGGGATTTGGCCATCCCCTCTGAGTGGGTGATTTCTCCCTTTCCCTCTCTCTATTTCTGTCCTTCTCTCTCTCTCTCTCCTGCAAATGCATGTGCTCTAAGGCAAACACCTCTTTAAAAAATGTTAACTTGGAACTTTCCCATGTGGTCAGCCTTGAAGGGGGTTTTACCAATGCACCACCATCCCATCCTTGAACATACTTTTTAAAATGTTGGTCAAAGGCAAGAAATTGAATTAATTGACATTACAAAAAAAAGGACATATGTATTTAAAAAGATCTCAAAGCACATAAATAAAGTTATAAAAATTATTTCATACAAATAGAAGTAGAGATCACTAGACTGGGAGAAAAAAAAAAACAATGTGTTGAGTGTGATATAGTAACTTTAAATACTTGAAAACTTGTCATGTGTAAAAAGGACAAACCATATGCCAGAAATCTTCAAAATGAAGGTTATACTATATAGGTGAGTGACATTTATGCTTTTTTCTATTTTATGTTGTTGCCAGGAGATATGTGTGCTCACCAGAGAAACAGAGAGAGAGAGAGAGACAGAGACAGAGAAAGAGAGACAGAGACAGAGAATGGGAAAGTGAGAAATCACTCCCCTAGGGATGAGGATTTTCTTTATTCTCCTCTCTAGATTTTAGGTGCACATACACATGTGCCTGGTATGAATTTCAAGCCACCAGGTTCAGGACTAGAACTGTAGTCAGCCATGTAGGAATCCAGTGCCTTAACCACCATGCCACCTGTCAGTGCTAGGCATCACATGTCCAGCTAAGACATAATTTTTTAATAATTATTCATAGTTGCTCAGCAATGAAAGAAACCTTTCCTGAGGTAGAGTTATCAATTGCTGACTCTGTTCAGAGAATGAATGATAATTTGAGAGGAAGGATCTAAAAAGTAAGAGTAATTTGGAAATTGCTGCAGTTTAAAATAAGAACAGATTCTTGAGGGGTAATTCCCTGTAGTAGATGAATATATAACATACATGTTAAAATTTTCTAGATTTAGTTAATCTATCTAACAATTTTGGAAGAATTCTGCATTTAACTATTCATATACTCATGAGGTAACAGTAGTTAGAGAGAGACCAAAGGAGAAGAATACAGGTATTATCTCAAATACTGACAAATGAAGCCATGTGGGGGGGGTGGAATGAGATTTCTATATGCCATTATTCTTTTCTTGGACTTTATATATATAAATATAAATAACAGATTCTCTAAAATTTTCTAGCATTATGCTGTTCTCTTGATATCCTTGATGTTATATACATGTGGCTATCAGAAAAATCTTTCAAGATATAACTAGAAGATAAGCTCAAGTCAATTTTTAAATTAGAGACTCTTAATAAATGTCTAATATCTCATTTTATGAATCAAACTAAACAAAAGACAAAAATGTAAGAACAGTATCTATGATCTCTCTATGTACATATCATGAACTTAATTCGCAGGCAAGTAGAAAAGATAAGATTTGGAAAAAAGGGAATATACAAGTAGAAGAAATAATTAATTTGCAAATAATAATGCTTCAAAAAAAAGATGGACTTTTGGTGGTGAGGACCTTGTGATGAAATTTGTTAATTTCCCCAAATCCTATTGAAAAAAAAAAAAAGCAAAAATTACAAACTAGGTAGAACTGGCACGGTAAAGGAAAATTTCCTTTTATTGAAGATGAGATCTTCAATAAAACAGATGTCAAAAAAGTCCAACAAACCCTGAAACACAGTTGAGTGCAAGTGTGTTTGCATGTCTAAAATATTTTTTTAAGTTTTTTTTTCTTTCATACTCTTACACACACACTTCACCTTTAACCACTAAAATGTGTGGGGGCGAAATCACAACCAGCAGGGTTCATAATTCAATTCAATGCTGACACTACCAGGAGATACCATTAGATCCCAAGGTTAAAGGCTCAGTCCACCGGACTGCCTTCCATTGCAAGTAGCAGATTGCCACCTACACTTCTGATTAATCAAGTATAAATCAGAGTTCCCATGACCTCCTCCTCAGGTTTGATTAATTTTCTAGTATGGCTCACAGGTGTAGAGGAAGATTTTCTTAACAGTTATTGTTTTATAAAAAAGGTCAGTGCAGAAGATACAAAAAGAAGAAATATATAGGGCAATGCCTGTGGGAAAAAGCAGAGAGCTTCCATGAGTTCTCCAGGTGCACCACCCTCTACGTACCTCCATCTGTTTAGTCTGGAAGCTCTCTGACCCCTGTCCTTTAGGGTTTGTGGAGACTTCACAATGGAGGCTTAAATGATTATATAAATGGTCACTGGTGGCCATGCTTCTCCTACTTTCCCCCCTAGAGGGTATGGTGATGGGGAAAATTTAAAGTTCCAGTCCTCTAATCACAAGGCTTGCTCCCCTGGCAACCACCCCCCATTCTAAGGTTATCTGGAAGGTGCTTTGTTAGAATGAAAGATGCTCCTATTGCCCAGGAAATTCTAAGGAATTGGGCATTCTGTGCCAGATATTCCTCAAGAAATTACAAAGGTCTTGAGAGCTTAGTCTCAGGAACCAAGGTGAAAGATCAAATTTAAGAAGAAAAGACTCTCCTCATCGATGAGGTGTTTAGGAGTTCTACATCAGCAAATTGAGGCAAAAACATACATATATATCTATAGATATAGATATAGATATAGATATATATATCTTGGGGAGGAAGTTGTTGGAAAAGTCCCTATGCATTTTTGCATAGAAAAATAGATGTGTGTGTGTGTGTATTTATTGGAAATGTCATGACTCATTTTCACATAGAAAACATAGAAAAATACCTTATGATTTTTATGATGACTATATATACACTATATATATATACACACACACATGCATATACACTATACACACATATACACATATATCTATAATATGTATATATTTAATATAATTAATATAATATAAATAATATGTATATAATTTTATATATAATATGTATGTATATTAAAGTGCTCTAAAAGCCATGCATTATACATTTCCTTGGAGGAATACAAAATTTATGGCTATGTTTATATGTCGTATAGAGAGGCTACATATTTTTTTTCAAAGTTAAACAATCTTACAAGTACAGAATGTATAGCTGCCAAACTATACAAGGGAAAATCAAATGACACAGTATTTATGGAATTCAAAAAAAGAAAACAATCAAAAGT